ATTTAGGATGTTGGGTGTGGCCAACACGTGTGCTGAGCTGAAGAGGATGAGTGTTAGAGGTGTTTGGGTGATTGGTACCAGTTCACCAAAAGGAACAGATACTGGAGACACTACCAGTAGCATTAACAAAGTTAAGACAGAAGGAACAGTTCTATTTTCAAGGTATGTATTAATTGTAGTGCCTTCTCTTATTGCCCCACCTTCTCTCTTCTCTTTTGTACCCTCCCCCTTTACTTCATAGACGTTTTCCAACAGTAGAGCAGCGAGCTAAGAGATCATGCAAGGATTGCTCTTCTCTTTATTGTCCGATACCGTTAGACAGTGATTTTTGTGAGGATATTATGTTACGTTGCTCCACTATTAAAGAAGAAGTAAGAATTGAATAAATAATTATAATTATTCTGTTTTAGTTTATTGATGAGCGTGATAGTGTTAGTAATGATATTCAATGGCCAGTTTATTCATGTGGTTCTCTTTGGCCTGCTGTATGTTTAAGAAAGGTAACAGTACATGTACACAGTGTTATTATCATCATTATTATTATTATTATTATTATTATTATTATTATTTATAGAAGGATTTATTGTATGTTGCTGTATGTTACTATGATCCTATCAACAATGAGAGACCACCACTCATCATGATGTAAGACATTATGTATTATACCATCAATGAATTCAATTTTTAATCCTTGAACATCTCTATTGATGCATGTGTACAAGGTTTCCCACAAAGCATGCTAAGTGAGCTAAACAGCATGAGCTTCATGAGCTGACAAGTAAATGTACATTATAATATGTACATGGCATTTTGAGGAACTCTAAAAAATTGTAAAAAATCTAATTTTAATCGGAATCTGCTCAAACTTTCTACACAACATAAGTACATGTATATGTATCAGAAAAAGTTATAAAGCAAAGAATTTTCTCCTTTTCAATTTTGGCAAATTTTGGCCAAGAACCCTGTACTACAGTACAGGGACTTTGACTGAATTTTGGAGCAACTTTAAAAATTCATAGAAAATCTACTTTTAACCAGAATCTGCTCAAACTTTCTACACAACATAAGTACATGTATATGTATCAGAAAAAGTTATAAAAGCAGAGAATTTTCTCCTTTTCAATTTTAGCAAATTTTGGCCAAAGACCCTGTACTACAGTACAGGGACTTTGACCAAATTTTGGAGCAGCTTTAAAAATTCATAGAAAATCTACTTTTAATTGGTATCTGCTCAAACTTTCTACACCACATAAGTGCATGACTGCATGTATATGTATCAAAAAAATTTATAAAATAGAGAGTTCTCTCCATTTTATTTTTGATAAAATTTGGCTAATGACTATTTTATTTACTGTAGTACAGGGTCTTTGGCCTTGTTTTTGATTTTGACAGTGAGCACTGACAAGAAGCTGTATAAGCATTATATTATGCCAAAGTCCTTTGAGAAACTTTGTAGTACTTGTGCACGTACATGTATTAGACATAAACGTATTAGGGATAATATTTATTTTTTAAAACAATACTATTATAGGCCCAGTGTTGCAGCTGCTGTGTCATTATTGGAGGGAATGATGGAGGTACTTAGTTCAGCTGTTAAACTTGAGACCAGTTCACCACAGTTAGCTGAATTATATCAGTACCTCTGTCTGGCTGCTCCTTTTGGCACACCTAATGAAACTAATCCTTCTAACTTGAAATTCCAGATCCAGTTTAGGAAAGGGGTGGCTATGCCAAAGGAAAAGGTACAGTGTATGTGCAATAGTATATCATTGTGGATATACTGCTGGGGGGACTCAATGTTTGATTGGGAAAGATAATGGACTCCATTTAAATGTGATACTGCTGGTCTGTTTATTATTGAAGACCAACTCTTAGCGTTCCTATGGGACTTAACCTTTGACCAGTTAAACCGTTTATGGTAAAATCATGACAATAAAGTATCACCAATATAAAGTGGTATAGAGTTACTATCAGACTATTATTATGTGCTTTGATTGCTTTAATCTTATTGTACTTAATGCTTTGAGCCATGTTTGATAAAAATCGATTTTTGTTGCTTTATTAGATTCCTTCATGGAGACCAGCTGTGTATAAAGGAAGCTCAAAACTTAATGTTAGAATAAAAGAAGAAGTTAGGGCTGTCCAGGTGAGTGGGTTGCTGTGACTTTTAATTTACATACTAATAGTATGATAAGGAAGACATTGAAGACATATGTCAATTGTATGGATCAGTATTATGCAAGGTACATAACGAGTTATTATTAATTAGAATTATTAATTAAACTATAAGGATATTATGGTAGAACGAGATACTTTTAGTTAGTACAATGAATTTTCCATTTTTAATAGCATATACACTGTATAATTGAAAATGATGCATATTTATTGATTGAAATACACAAACTAATAAACATTTATTTTATATAATAGGCAGAACTTGAGGGTCACCCTGACATAGTATTAAACTTGACCACACCTCCTGACTCCTCCCATCTCGATCACTTAACTGTTCATTCTTGTGTGCAGTCATCTGATGCTGAGCCAGTACTAGCTGATACTACTAATAGACACACTGACACTCCTCATTATTCAAGGAGTGTCAGGTTCTCGGCTCCTTTGGAGACATTCACATTGTGTCATTATCAACAGTCACCAGCTTTGATACCAATAAGAGGATTCTATCAAATGAAGGTATTTACACGTACATGAATTAGAATAAATCTTTAATAAGATATATTGATCATATAAAGTGTTGAAATAGATACATGAATATAGTAATATCATAGTATGGTCAAGATTGAGTTAAGCATATCAATTGATGATTGGAGTCACATAAACTTTCTTGAGCTATTTTGTCATTAAGAATGAGCCAGTTTGAAACTGGTTGCAGTTTCTTTACTTTAAATATATTGTCCTGACACATTTAATTGTCTCTTTATTGTTATTTTATTATTATTTCTAGGGTGATAGAACTATTGAGCTACTCGTTCAATTGAAGCTACACGAAACAATTAGGAACAACTTTGAGTACTGTGAAGTAGTGATTCCTTTTTTTAACAGGTTAACCAATAAATATTTAATGTATAGTTGCAGCAAAGATCAAAGGCCTAACAGTTGTGATAAAACCCACAGAACACTCCCACCAATACCGCAGTGTGATATTATAAATAGCACACTCATTTATTTAATGTGCAACAGTGTGATATCAGTGATAGCAGAGCACGTGCAATCGTTGCTGGAACTATACACTAAAACAATTAATACATGTGGCGTCGTGTGCTATCTGATTTATCCGCACTCGCTTCCGGTCTCGTCACTAAAAATAGCGCACTCGGCCTTCGGCCTCGTGCGCTATTTTTAGCGACTCGACCGAAAGCTTGTGCGGATAAATCAGATAGAACACGCCGCCCCATGTATTAGCTATTACATAACGTACTGTACTATTAAAATTTTGTATATTGTAGAGGAACTATTGAGAAGATTGATAACATATCACCAACATCAGTTAGTCTGTGCATTGGTCCTGATAATAAGAGTCTAGTGTGGAATATTGGACGAGAAGTTCCCGGTAAAGTCACTGGAAGTGTCCCTCAGTGTTACTGTGACATTCACTGAGTTTCCTAGTGAAGAGGAGGAGGAGAGAGATAAAACTGTG